TTGATACTGTAGCACACAAACAAAACAGATTGATTATTAGTGACAGCTTACCAACTGTTGCCCTCCAGGATCCAGTCGATTGTATAACCGGTAGCGAAGAGCCATGTTGTGCTGTCGGTAATCATCTTCAGAATGTAACGAGGTCATGCTGCCCTCTCTTGAGAGACCTAATCCTCCTAAAACAACATTTTGAGAACAATGAGTTTGGATATCAGCTACCCCCGAACACCAGAAGGCAGAAAAATATTTAGAACGGTATTAGAACCTACCGGTGAATAGATATGGTTGTCTAGGACGGTTGGTGCTGCGTGAGAAAGTCGAAGGGGGTGCAGGAGGGGGGCTAACGCTTGAGAGCAAAGGCTCAAAGCTGAAAAAATGTCATTCATAAAAAACAAAAGTAGCGTCCTTTGAAAGTATGTCTCAAAACTTACTCATCATCTATCGCCCCATAGTTAGACATTGCATCGGATGGCTACAAAATTCTGGAACAAAATACTTACGGCAATCTACAAATAAACCATAAATTCATAGCATTCGTGAGCGCTCTATAAGACATCATAAAGCAACTGATAGTGTGCTGATAACAAACATTGCCACGAGTGGAGCCATTGTCCATTATTGCGCATTGAAGTGATTTATTTTCACAAGCTTGTTTAGAATGCTTGAGAATAATTTCGATGTTTGTGCATTTACTCGATACATTGGCGGCTTCACATTTGCTGTCTCAATTTGAAAAGGGCAAAGTATTTGACACTGAGAACATCGTTTAAGATCAAAATATCAAAGCATTTCTCACAAACACACAACATCCAAATTTGGCCATGAGGCCACCTCGTACCCTTGAACAAACAACTTCTACATAAGCTGTTGTTGTTATAGCTTCACTTCTGCGCTATTTCAAATTATCACTTGCATATTTCGCTTAGAACAAAATATGCTATGAAAATATGCAAAACAGCCCCCTGCACATCATATGTCTAAGGCAATCTTTTTGCGTATTATGAAGTAAAGGAAAATACAAGAAAAAACCATAAGGGAAGTTTCAGACATGAAAAAAACTTCAGCCCAAAAAAAA